CTTTGGCCTTTCCCTTGGCCTTGCTGGACTTGCAGCCGGAACCACTAAAATCATTCTCTTCATCATTGGATTTCTTGGCCGCCTTCATGGACAGCTGATCACTCCGGGTCACCACCTGCAAGACAGAGGCGCAAGAACCAAAAAACGCAATAAACGAGTAACCACATTTTACTTAAGTGCACTTACTGGCCTGGATGTAAAACATATTAAATATACACATTACCTGAATTCCCTCACTAGGTTGCACTCAACCCCTCAATCCACAACTCACCCAACACTTGCAAACTGACCTTGGCAGGGGAGAAGTCAACGTACGGCTTGCCAGAACCAGATGGGATTTCTGTGTTGCCAGCCTCCGAGGCCATCTCCTCCATGCCCTTGGTCTCCTTACCCTGCAAGTGGTCCAAGGCACCCTCTGCAACAAACTGGATCTCCTCTTTGTGAAGCGGCTCGAAAACCATCTGGGTGTCAAGCGTATACGGGAGCGTGTCATGGACGTCAGGGCCAGAGGAGGGTCCAGGGGCAGGTGTTACAGGGGCATCCTCATCATCCGAAGCAATCACAACTGCACGATGTTCTGTGCACGCGTGGCCTCACGCAGGAACTGAAAGTGAACACTTGCTGCGCACAACTTCTCGAATGCATGGCCGAAATTCATGGGAACATCTTTGCACACATGCATGCAGGCATGTAGGGAGGAACTTTCACACGCACCCAACACGCAGGGAATTCTCTGCCCACCACTTGCTAAGGCAGCCAAGTTTAACCAAATCAGTGCCAGGGTGCTCTTCATCTCACGTCGTTGGCTGCGAAGCCTCAGGCGCACAGGCACATACACACTTCATAAACTGGTTGGCTAAAAGCAAGGGTGCCCTACACGAATTACACCCATGCACGCCGAGCTTTCCAATGAAGCTGCATGATCATGAACCCCTGAAGCTCACACGCAAAGTCCATATGTGTGCTGCTGAGCTACACCATCTGGGCATGCAACTTTGCCTTGCTGGCTGCAAGCTTGGCCTCAAGGGAAGTCAGAGGTCTGGCCACTGCGCGAGCGACGGTCTTCTCAATCTTCCTCGTCTCTGCAGGGAAAGCTTTGGCCTTCCTCACAAGCTCCGCATGCTCTACGCTCTCCATTGCACCATCACCATCCCGGTCTGAAGGGACAACGGGTCTTGGTCCACTGTCCTCTGCAATGGGTCCATGGGAGCCTGGAATCTCGCCCTCTGGAACATCGCCCACTGAAACTGCTGGCTCTGACAACACCGGGATCTCGTAACCTTCTGAAACCACTGGCTCTCTGAACGATTGAGGGATTTCGATGCCCCCTGAAACCACTGGCTCTGACAACGTCAGGATCTCGCTGTGCCCTGAAACCACTGGCTCTCTGAACGACACGGGGATTTCGCCGTCCCTTGAAACCACTGGCTCTCTGAACAACGCTGGGATTTCGCTGTCCCCTGAAACCACTGCCTCTGACAACGTCGGGATCTCGCTGCCTCCTGAAACCATTGGCTCTCTGAACGACACAGGGATTTCGCTGGCCTCCGAAACCACTCGCTCAGGTTCCTCAATACCATCATGGGTGGGTGGGGGTGCAGGCACAGGGTCACTGGCGGGCAAAGGCAGAGAATCATCAACCAGTACTGCCGCAGACAAACCACTGTCAGGCACAGCTGGCACTACTGCATGGGCTGCCGCTGGAGGATTTGGGTCCGTGTCGGGCGGCGGCCCTTGATCCTCATCCATGTCATCGTCCAAGGACATGCGGCGATGGATGGCGATCCCAGCCTTACATGAATCTGCTTGACCCTGCAAGTTAAGTAACCTGCATGAAGCTACAACACCCATGGTTTGCATGAACTCATATACATGCGCACGACACACACAGACACACTGGCACTGCACGACCCTTTGTAACGACATCATGCCCGAGTACATTGCGTGACCCCATGCAGTTACGAACACCGTGGGTATAGACATGGCAAGCGACGCCAAGTGGGGGACACATTAAACAAAGAATCAAGCAAGAATTCTGTGTGGGATACGGGGCCCTTATCAATTATGGGACATCAGCCTAACTGCCTCCAATCCTCATGCTCCATGGGAATCTGATAACATGTATTTCCCCCACACCTGTCTAGATTTACTTATGATGTAGGGTATCCTGCTACAAAGCTTAATTGCGATTTCGGACTTCTTGAATTACTATTTTTGGGGGGAGCGATGCAGAGGCCTGCGTGGGTAATAATGGTCCATACCAAGCAGCAGAAAGGGAAGCCCGCATAATCTCGTCGTACTTGGCCACAAGGTCCCGCACCTTCGGATCCTGCGAGATTCATTCTAGTTTCAGATCAACAGCCTTGAGGATATTGATCCACCAGGATGGATGAATAAATGCATGTGGACTGCTAGTCTAGAAGTAAAGGCCTATGTGAGTGATCATGACTACCTTCCACTGCAACATGCGATTTATTGCAACAGTCCTTTGGGACCTCCAACCTAGTCCATTTTCTCTTCAAAGTCGTGAGGCATCTCTTTATCCCCCAGGCGTCTCGATGCGCGACACCCAGAATGTTTCCTTGGCAGGGATAATTTGAGAGTTCGAGGAAAACCTTGCACTTCTCAGAGAGCAGGTCAATGCCCGGGGTCTCAATTGTGATCGCTGCAACCATGCTGTTCAACACTGGCAGCAGCACTGCATAGTTGGCCGAGCAATCACGCAAGTTTCCTAGGCATGAGTTGACTCCAGGAACAGTGGAAGCCATCATAGAGTAACCGGCTGCAGCACTTTCCCATTCAACAGGCGTTGTGGCCAAAGTAGCCAGCCTTCTGATAGCCATCATGGCCAAAATCACCTGCAACCTTCGCAGTCTACCTGCTATAGCTGATGCCCAAATGGCTTTCCAGGATACAAGTCAAAACATCAAATTCAGACAATAGGACATCGTGCATATGAGCAGCCTATATAGGACATTGAAACTCCCCTTGACCCAGTACGCTATATGGATTATTGGCAATCTGTCCAGCTGGCCCCGCCCAGGTCGATCCTTGTGGTACATTGATCGATCGAGCAAACCTGCGAGGGCGAAAGCAAAAATGGTTGGTGTTGATGGGAACTGTTCTTGATTGTATCTACCGCGAACACTTCAGTTCGAGGACTGCAGTATATTGTATACCATATGAAGATTTACACGTCTCATGTCCTTGCATAATCGCACCAGGCCTCAGGATACTCGGTGTAGACGCGGGTCGCAAGCCAGGTGGACATGCAGTCAGCAGCAAGGAATCTCCATGAAGGTTCCAGGTGGCTTTGAATTATATAGACTTACGCTGGACCTCCAATTTCATAGCACTGTGAACATTGCGGCTTATGTTCTAATTACAGGGTTTATCTCAAGTTCTTTGAAGCTTCAGAGGATTGGGGCCCACATTAGCATTTGTATCGATCGATAGGTTGGGGGCATTACCAGTTTCAAGGTTTAACCCCCATCTGGCAAGATTGAATTTGCCACTTTGCCATTAGACTCGCATACCCTCAATCCTGAACCGCGCTGAGGCTGATTGTATGCATGGTCATGACTCTTGAAAGATGTTTGCGCAACCTGACACATAGCCTTTCTTCTCCCTACCCGAGCACACAATCTAAGGGAAAGTGCCCCTTATCTACGTGATTTGAAGGTCACTATAGGGAACTTAGGGAAATACGGGCGTGGAGGTAAAAAACCAGTTATTTCCACTGGGTCCCCAAATAACCAGTTATTCCAAAATGACGATTAATTTCAGGTCGTTTGCTGTAGCAGGTATATATATATATGTGCACATGTAATTCCTCGAGTCCATAAGCACCCCGACTGAAGAGGAGTGTAGCCTGCTCATGGGCCCTTTTTGGGCTCCCTTGTTACACTGCGGGACCCTAAACTGCAAGCCTCTATAGACCAGAGTCCTTCACCTTTTGAACATATCAGGGCTGGTTTCATCATTCACTTTCTTTGGCCTGAGGGGTTAGGGGCCCAACTTTCCACAAATTTGGGTTTACGGTTTACACAGGTTGTCAGGATCAGCGTTCTGTCAGTGTTTTCAGAGGCTCGCCAAACAAGTTTCGAATCTCAAAAGCTGCTTCACGATTGGGAAAAAGCTTTTGGAAGCGCTGCAGAAGATGTTATGACGCCCCGCAAAACGGGCCTGGCCCACAAAATTGCTAGCGGCGACTGTATCACTCATTTTGTCATGCCCGATCCAATCATGACTCACGTATGGTAACTTGCCTTAAGGCCCTTAACAGCAACCCAGTCTTTTGGCACAAACGTCTGGTATACCCGTGCACAACTGACTACATGAGCCATGGTCAACAATCCAATCTCTTGAGGCCCAATAAGGTTCAATGTACGGTTTGGGTCTTAGGTACCCCATTATGAGCACAATCCCCCAACCCCATAATAACGAATATTCCTTCCTTTGTTCATTGGGGTGGGGTGGGGTCGGGCCGGAGGTTAAGGCTAAGGATGACCAGTTCCTTTCTACAACGCAATTGGGGAACCTATAGTCCCCCTTAAGTAGATAGAATATGGTTTTTGGTATGTTATAGTAAGATCCCCATATACCCCAGCCCATATTCTACCTACTAAAAGGGGAACCTGAAGAGCTAAGGTCCTCCTCAATACTGTACTACTGTTGATACAAAAAATCCTGCATGACCTGAGTATACTATCGTACCATAATTGCCAAGGTATAAGGTACTTAGGGTCATGCAAGACTTTTACTATCCACCGTATAGCCCCCGAAAAGCAATACCAATCTTAACACACCCGGAACTCTGAAATCCCAAGATCGCATAAGGCCAACTTAACTCTCTCCTGGTCCTCCAAAGTAGGCCAAAACATAGTCCCCGTAAAAAAATGCCCAAACGGCTGTTGTTCTACACATTTTTCAGGGCTGCATAGTTTTTAGGGTTCAGATACTTTATCCACCCAAGAAGATCCACATTGCAGGCCAGTCTCAGGTCGCTGTCTAAGTGCGCGCATCTCGCCCAGAAGCCGCAAGGCGGAGGCCCACTCCTGCTTTGCAGCACCTGTAGCTAGAGCGTTCCTCAGAAATCCCTTAAATCAGATTAGGGATCCTCGTATGATTGAAGCTACATTTTTCTGGGCTTTACAGGTTCACAGAGTGCATCTTTTTCTGGTACAGAGTTGAGGGCAGAAGGTGTACGGTTCAGGGTATGGTTCCCGGCTTGGGCTTGCCAACGCCAACTGCACCTAAACCCTAAACTCATAGTGATCTACAGGGGATACAAACATCTGCAGCATGTTGCTCATATGTCGGGCCCTGGGAGGCAAGTACTACAGGACAACTGGGGCCGGCGGGCGCACGATTGTTTAGAGCTTAGAGTTTGGGTTTAGATTTGAGACTGCGCCTTTAGTCGGCAGGCTCGGTTTGTGTACAAGTCCCAAAAGGTCTTCGGTATATCTATCGTCGTTGAAGTGCAGGGTGCATCCTTGCTAACACGACCAGAACTTAAGATAAACTTATTCATGATGTTACTGGCATCAGAACAGATCAGAACTCCTACAGATAATTAATAATGCTTCGAACACTGCACCAATCTGTTTCCGCCGAGGGACTTGCCTGAACGGCACAGTTGTGCATAGCCGCATTTGGCTGAATTCCTCTCCTCAGCTTACGCGAGGCAGCTCTGAACTTTGCTTTCCAAAGTCGGGGCCCTTTCAAACCGTGGGAATATGGGGAGGTACAGATTTTAAGAGCTGAAGTTAAATTACCATAATGTGAAAGCCTTGTTCGCTAAAATGTACCCATACTATAGTAATCTAAGTTTTGTAACAGCAGCCCATTGTATCTGTGGTTTATGGTAGAATTCTGTTCAAAGATCATCAGGACACCCCCTGATCTACAGCTATCCCAGTGATGATACACACCAATCTGCGACATAGGGTGCCTGATGAATGACTTGAAACCGCAAACCTTCAGAAGCCCTCCGAAGCCCCAAACCGTAACACCAGAAAGTCAACAAACCTTAATAGTAATAACAAGAATTATAGTAGTGATAAAGAATGATAAGAACAGCGGTAAGCATAATACGACGAGTGGTACTAATAGCCTGAAACCCCCAAACCGTGAACCTTTAAACCCTGAAAGCCGGTCAACAGAGCCACCCCCTCTTTTCAAATAGCTTTCAACAAGCAAGCTTCACAAGTCAGCGCTCTCTCTCTCTCTCTCTCTCACTCAATTTCATTTTTAGCAGGGCCGCGTTTGGGCTTCCTCCAGAAGCGCCAAAGAACCTGATTGCATAGGTGATTCCTTGACAAAACGGGTTCAGGACTGTGGAATTTGTTTGGGTTGCGCTCTAAACCCTAAACCCTAAACCTTTGGGTGTGGCTGTTGCAGGTTCGGTAGTTGGGGCTTTTTCCGGGTTAGGACTTCCGAGTTTGGGGGGCATGGGATAAACTGAGGTGCAAAGTGAGGCTGCGAGCCGGACAATGCCAAACAAGGGGTATATAGGGATCATATCGAGACACTTCAGAACAATGGAAAAGAACATGAAAACTACGATTTTGGATAAAGGATCGAAGTCACGGTGGACAAGCGTGCACAAAACAAAGCAAGGACAAGTTCCCTGCAAAAAGCCCATATGCGCTAACGCAACCAGATTTCTTTTTTCAGCTACTTATAGATTGTTCGTGGTGACTGCTATGGCCTCCACTGAAATAATTGCCATGAGAAGCCGATGTCCGTGACGGTTACTCCCATGGCAACCTTGAAAACGACCGAAGCTCACATTGAGCTCCGCTTTTGTTTAGGGGTGGTGGTCATAGAAAGGCCAGGCGCTTCCCCAGCACCCCAGCTGGTTGCTTGCCTGCATGGCCTTGGGTCAGAAATCGGATCAATCGCGGAGGGCTTGCAGTTGAATATTATTAGCTCATCCTTGGAGACATTTTGATTTTGATCCTTCTGTGAACTAAAGCCCAAGCGGGAAGATAAAGCAAACATCTTTACTACTATCTCGAGAAGGACCATTTAAGGGCTTTCGGACCTGCGGCTGGTAGGAGTTTTCAACCTCGGGGTTTTTTTTGCCCAGAAAGTAATTTATGAGAGTATGGCCCCGCCCTTTAAGTAGATGCAATACGGGGATGTCGTTATGATAGTAGGCAGTTCCACATTCTATCTACTTGGCAGTGACTATAAGTTTGAGGGCGAGATTTTGGGACGTTGTCGCGTCTCCTACATTACTAGCATCTTTGACGCCAGGATGCTCATGCGAACCTCAAGCAACAACCTCCAATGTTGAGGGTTTAGGGTTTAGTGTTCCCACATACCCAACGATTGAAGGGGTTTACACGCCTGTATCAGAAGGGCTCGGCATCAGTGAGCTTTTCGAGAGGCAACTCTCATCGGAAATGCAGCACGCTAAATATGACCCCATGCACGCATTCAAAACCCTAAACCCGAAATTCAAACTTCAACTCTGAAACTTCGGGGTCATTCAGGGTTAGAACTGAGGGTGTACCTGTAACCAAAATAACCCCGTCACGCCTACTAATTACAGGGCATTTACCACTTTGAAGCCAGAAGTAACTGGGTTAACAGGTAATCATACGCTGTAGGCTGGCTTCGGGCGACCCTAGGTTCATACAGGGCAGCCGAAATGGTAAAGCCCAATACGGGTATATAGGATTCTATGGGTTTTTATGATGGTATACTGCCGGGTTGGCATTGACATAGTCAAGGTAAGGGTTTAGGGTAGAGGCGTACGACGACAGATTTGGAAATTTAAGCTACCCTGGATGCAACCTGTCCGTCCATACCCTCCACTCCAGAATATGGAACTGATATCACCGACATCTGAGAACCATCAGGGTATACAGGGGGCCCCGACTAGGGACTACATAGAGTTTCCTTCGAGAAACACCCAAAATACGCGGCCAAGGGATACCATCAAGCCAAGAATCCATCCCGTAGCCTTCGGAGTCAGCATCCCCTACCATGTCCTCCATTCTTTGGGCTTAAGGCTTCAGGTTAGGGATTACAGGGTTTAGGATTTAGCTCCAAAAAAACGAGTGGGTGTAGGTTTAGGGTCTAGGGTTGAGGGATTCCGCTAACTTATGTGAATACCCACGAGCATTAAGGTTATTCGGTGATAACTTGGGTTAGTACTTTTATGAGGATGCTGCACGATGCAACCGCGTAAACCCGGCAGAACAACCCTCGATTCGGTGTTTGAGGCTCTGGCTCTAGACTGGGACATGACGAAACAAAGGCTAAAATCATCACATTTTTTCCGTATGGGTTTATAGTTCCAGTGAAGTAGATAGAATATGGCTTTGAGCATGTTATAATTCGATCCCCATATACCCCCCATGTTCTATCTACTTAAGGGGGACTATAATCAAATGGAAACTTTTGATTTTTCTGACTTTGAAGCGGTGTTCAGTTTACGAAGGCCATGTCGTGCGGCCCGATAGGTTTAGGCATTGGGCTTTGAAGCTATGAAGACGTGATACCTCGGGTACCGTCCCCACCCAGCAACAACCTGCACTTGGGTAAGTAATGAGTGCTATATACAATGATATCAGCAAGTCATAACAGTCGTAATCCTTATTCACTTCGTACTGGGTGGGGAAAATTGACAATACCCAGGCGAAACCTATCTTGACATCCCGATCTTTCAGGTTCTGCACCCCTTCTTCTTTCCTCGAACTGGCATGGCAGCTTGCCTAAATTCTCACCCTAAACCCTAAACCCTGAACCCGAAACCCTCAACCCTAAACCGGGTCCTCCCCCCATCCCCCATAGACTACACCCGAGAGTTCCCCCGTTTTCCCTGGTCGGCCTGAATTAGCTCTGAGTGGCCGGCCTGAAATTGGAGGTTCCCCAATGAAGGGTGTCTTTATGGGGGTCCCTATAGTAAGGATTAGAGTATTTTGGGGGTCTATATTGGGGTCCCCCTATTTTACGAAACTACCAAATAGCCTTACGCCTTATGCAAAACAAGAATTTGAGGAGAGAATCCAATGAGCAGGGGCCAACCCTTGAAATGGAAGGGAAAACAGCGCAAACCCCCGGCATACAGTACGAAGCCAAATCTACAGGGACCCGTACTTATCAACTTAAGGCAAAATCGCCAAATCCTTGACACCCGGCCTCGAAAAGGCTGTAAGCAGTCCCCCATTGCTCACCTTCAGAAATGCTGTGAGAGGCACTTTTTTCTGCAACTGCCAGAATCCATGGGATTATAAAAATTGCAAAAGAAGGATTCATCATTTGTTCATGTGTTGCCACTTCGCCAAAACCAACGAAAGCCTGTAGTTGCTACGGCATGCAAGACTTGGCAATTCTTCTGTTAACTCTTGCGTATGCCAAAAGCTCAAGTAAACAAGATGAGATATACTACGGCGAAGCATTGGCTGCATCAAGGCGGCAATGTTTCGTCCGTATGACCCATAGCCTTGTGCTTGAAATCTCTGAAGTTGGACACCCAATATCTACACTCACCAATAGATGGTAGAAACTCTGCTTCATTTACAACCCTAGGGCGTAGCCCAGCAATTGGCATTGCAGATCTTCGACGAGTACAAGCCAAGGAACCCAGGACGCTCTGTAGACCCCTATGCCCTACCAAATTATGTGCCTAGTATCTTCGATGCAAAATTTGGTAAACTGAAAAAGGGTAGGGCATGAGGGCGCAGCTATACATCCAAGATTAGGTTGCCGGTGTTACAGCATCAGCCACCGATCCACTTGAAAAATGAAAGCCAATCACACGAGCCACTCAGAAAACTGCTTACTATGACACCGCGATAGGTTGGAGAGGTTGGCAGCCATCTCACCATGGAAGTTTTGCTACCTGCCTATGAACACTAATTACTGTACGAACAGTCTCCAAACAACTGCTCATCCAGGCTTGATTCCAAAGGAGTGCCGTAGCAATAGCTGACTGAAATGAAGCGAGCCGACTTATACCTGACTAATCCGTGCCCCAATTCTTAAGACTTGGACCCTAAACCCGAGGCCCTAAACTCGAAATGGACCCAAAAGGTCCAAGCAGCTATATGGTATGTACTTGGGCCGGCCTTAAAGTAGGTAACTGGGAATCCCTTTGGGTTTGGGCCCGAGGTATATACCATATACCTACATGTATGCTTTGGGGTATTAGAAACCGGACGAGGGCACTGCGAAGGCAAGCGCTCATAGCATCGTAGTGGCTAGTCACGGGAAGCTGAAACCCACGCTGCTGACTCTCCTTCGAGGGTCTGAGTTTAGGGCTTGGGTCTGAGTTTAGGGTTTAAGTTTAGGGTTTAGGGCTCAAGGTCTTGGGCGCAGGGTTACTATCCTCCTATGAGCTAGAGTCTAAACTCCTAGTATCCTCCATCATATACTTCCCTATACAACCCCTTTAAGGAGTTGAGACTATAGCTCCTATAGTCCTAGAACACCTCTGTTCTTCTGTGGCAGTTCCGGTGTCAATCCAAGACAACTCGAATAGCACGTCACCGTCACCCCCAGCGCTCTTGCAATGCACTCCGAGAGCATTTCAAGAACTCTAGGAAGCGTCAGCGAAGCGTGAAGAGAAGTGTAGAATACTCTCTGACTAGTTGGAGAGCCTCATCTGGGCTGTTGTTATCAATGACTTTGGAGGACTGTCATTTACTATAAAGGGAGGGGGCATCCGAAAATTAGGGATCCCTTTTGGGGGCCGCCTTGTTTGCCATGTTTGTGGGAACTATCATATCCATATCATGGTGTCATGAAATTCCTGAAGCTCCTATGTAACCTATGCCTAACCCCAATTTCTGAGTCATGTTCCATCATCTTTTCCATTTGGTGCTTGATGATTGTGACGTAGCAGCCCCTACATTTACGAGCGACCCTAAACCGTCACACCTAAACTAAACTAAACCCTAAACCCTAAATAGTAGTTTCCATTTTCTTCTCCATTATCCCTAAGTCCTAGCCCCTTAATGCATGCGGTCCTGCAGCAGCTGGAGCGCTGACTGCCACCTGAACAAACTTCTAGCTCTGCGGGGCTGCTGGAACGGAAGTGAAACGATGGTTCTGGGTTTAGGGCTTAGGATTTAGGATTTGGGATTTAAGGCATAGGATTCGGGATGTAGGGTTTTAAGGTTTGGGGTTAAGGGTTTAAGACATGATGGGTTGTTGTTGCAGGCGTTCTGAGGTCTTTATAGAGACTAGATAGCAAATATGCTAAGACAATATACTTGATTATCTTTGCGTTGTTTTTGTTGTGTGGCTTGTATAACGGTTATATCAAGCTACCAGAATGGAGAGTCGCCTGGACAGGAGGGCGGACAAATCAGTGGAAGATTGTGTTGCGTAGGAATTACATAGGGATTTAAAACATACTTAAGTTACCACAACATGAACATAGGGTGAAGTACCCGTGATTTAGTTCAAGTTACATAAAAGGTAAAACCAATCTGGTATCTGGGTAAGTTCTAGAGCTAGGGCTGTGGCAACAAATTTCCGGACCTAAAGAAGTTGAACATGTTTAGGGTATGCTTAGCGAAACACGCTACAAGGGTTTCGAACCAGAAGAGCAACATTTCCCGAAGCACGCAGGCAAACTCCTAGATTACTGTTCACATGAGATGTACGGCTTAGATTCAGGGGTGAGGATTGGAGGTCAGGCTTTATAGATGAGGCGTGAGAGTTTAGGGCGCAGCGGTTAGCGAGTGGGATTTCTAGTTTCCCTACACCCTGAACCTTAAGCCCTCTAAGTACACCAACCCGGAGTAGAGCGTCGTGTGTATGAACAGGGCTCAAGCTTCATTCTCTATTGTGACGTTTTCCCGCTTCAGTAAGCACGACACGATAAACACTGATGTTCAAAATGCAGACTTGGACCCTTCGACCTATTCGCCCAATCCTTCCACCACAGATGCCACATCCAAGGACAAGAACCGTAGCCCCTGATACCTGAATCCTCAATCTGGAACGTGCAGGTCTAGGTATCAACTTTTCGTCTCTTAAACTTACACCCTTAAACTTATTCCCCCATAACCGCCACACCCTAATCCGTAAAGCACTAGCCCGGCTTGAAACATGCCTCATGAAGACCAACCCTTCTAGGTAAGCCCCACACATATACCTACACACACAAACCGTCTACATTCCAGAAACCCCTTTAAGATTAAGGATTTAGGGTACTCAAGATATACTAAAGCGCCCCACACCCTACACTCTTTGACGCGCCCTGTTTGAAGTCTTCTCCGCCTGCCCCCTGCCCCGGCAGCTCGCATCGATGCCTGCCAAAAGTCAAAAGTGCGGAAGGCAGAGAGTCAATGAAGCAATACGCGCTGCAAGACCTTTTGTAATTCATACAGAGCCCTATACGAGCTTTAGTCTGAACTCCTAGTATCCCCCTTATTTAGCCATATAATGCTCGCCTACATAATGCGCTACACAACCCCCTTTGAGAAGTTTAGAATATATCTGAAATAAATGTCAACCCAACTTACTGGTTCTTAGCAGGGAATAAGAAAATATGATCCCTATGTAGTCCCTTTACAATATATTGCCATATTCCCTACTAAGCCCCAGTAAGTCAAAGAACTGGAAGTTTCATGGGAGATCAAAGCGGACAGTCCAGGTACCCGACTATACAGACGTAAGAGGGGTTTGGGTGTGAGCATGTGTGAGCGTTACTCGTTAACAGCAAACCGTTGCCGCAGTCCTAGCTACCTCCAGGCTCTGAACGTGAAAACTGTACTCGAATATGACCTGTGTTTCTCCAGGAGAACACTTGCGCCTTCAAGAAAGAAACAACCCCAATTCGGAACCAAAGGGTCTTTCAATGGTTCCAACAGTTGACATGTAACCATTTTCTGGAAACATTTCAGCCCCGCTCTCCAGCCTAAAGTGGTGGGGTGGGGTCTTCGGTATGTTAACAATCCAACGCAACGCTATTTTCTTCTGAAGACTCGCCTTGTAGAGATCAACGTCCGGTCGCATGCCCTTCTGCCGGACTTCCTGGGAAGAAGAACTGTGTGTAATCTTCTTTCTCGAACTCGGGCCTGCACAGGGCTAGGTAGGCATGCTAAAGATTGTGGTGTAGCTAGAAGGTTGAGGTACATATGGAATTCCCACGTGGAGACATTTCTGTGTGGCGTGTGGGCCTCGAAGGCATTTTGTGGAAGATCTGACCCATCCCGAGGGACACCCCAGTCAATTGACAAGGCCTATCAGTTCCCTGAGGTGTGGGACGGTCTGTAAGTGGCCCAGTAAACGTACATATATGTATATACAAAGCATCCCATAGACAACAGAAGGCCGCATGCAACGTCAAGCTGAAGATACAAATTCTGTGCACATGTGTTATGGCTGTCTCTGAATACCTGCTTCTCCAATGGGAAATAGCCTCAACGCCAACACTAAACCCTAAACCCTAAATCCTAAACCCTAAATCCTAAACCCTGAACCCTAAATTCTAAACCCTGAACCCTAAATTCTAAATCGCCTTATAAAACCCTCCACGTCAGACAAAGGCTCCTTCAGCTCTTTCCACTGGAAACTCATGCTTAAGTGTAGGGTTTAGGGTTTAGGGCTACCCTAAGGCTCTAAGGACTCTTAATACAAGGCTTTTGGGCCCAAAGACCATACTATAGAAGGCTTTCGGGCTATTTCGAGCCTTAGGGTTAGGTTTTAGGGTCTGCTATTAAGGGCTTGGGGTTTGGAAGTGGCAGGGGTAATACAGGGAACTGAAAAACTGCCAAGATATTTGCGAGGCCTAACTGAGGTACCCGACAATAATACCGTACTTCTGCAAGGAATCCAGGACCACTGTATCGGTAAGTATTGCAGCTTCTACATTACAATCGCTACAAACCCTTACATAAACCGAGTGTGCATGGTATTCTCCATTTTTATATCTCATTCACCATTATCAGAATAACGCTCCCCCAAAGCCCTAAGCCCTAACCCCTAAACCCTAAAGCCCAAGCCCTAAGCCCTAACACTGGTTACCCCTGGCAATCTGCGCGAGATCGTGCGCTCGAGCTGCAGGGCCGACATTCTGTGCTGATGCGGCGGCTGCTGCGGCTGCGTGTGTTATCCTAAAATTATGCACACGCACCAGGCGCCAACCCTAGGACCCTAAGAGGCAACGAAAGCGCCAGGCGCCTGGTGAACGTGCCACCAACTACTTAGGCCCCCTGGTCATCTTTAGCCATGCCCATTGGCCCATTGGGCAAGACGTCTATTGTTAGCTGCAATGCCTGGAAAGGCTAAGCATGCAGAGGCTCATATGGGGGTTATAGTTTATGTATAGGGTGTGGGGTATAGGCCTAATATCCCCAGCAATGGAACAGCAGAAGCAAAAAACGCACAAGCAGCAGCTGCACAGGACAAATCGACAAGTCATTACAATGAATTGGGATTTTCAACTGGTTCATGGTATACACAACGAACTGCTAGCGGGGTTTCTGTCTTCCATCTGCCAAACCTTAACGCGCAAACCCTGATTAGATGCAAGACTGGGAAGTCTGAGCACTGCACTGCCAGCAACTGTAGGACCTGCATGCGCACGACACTTCAAACCCTAAACGGCCCAAGGGTCCAAGTATGCAAACAGTATATGAGTTGAGCCCAAAATACCTATGAGTCCAAATCACTTCCTATTTCGACATCGACCCTAAACCCTGAGCCCTGAACCCTTAACCCTAAGCCTTAGGGTAAGGATCGCATAACTTCGAAATAGTGGTAGGCGCTGGGCATCTATAATGCACAAATGCCCGTCGAACTCTTTAAGAGCTCTTCTTCTTGATAGAGGGCTTCAATAAATTGGGATGCCTTTCCGGGGTCCTTTAGCAAAGTTCGCGAACACGCACAGACACTCTCTCTCTGTCTCTCTCTCTCTCCCCCTCTCTGCCTGTCTCTCCCTTTCTCCCTCCCTCTCTCTCTATCTCTATCTCTCTCTCTCTCTCTCTCTCTCTCTCTCTCTCGCTTGCTCTATATATACACATATATACGGACATNNATACGGACATATATATATATATACATATCTCTCTCTCTCTGTCTCTCTCTGTGACCACACATAAGTGTTGAAGCTGTATATGGGGCCCCCATTCTGGTTCAACCGCTTGAACCGTTTACGGCTTGACAGGTATGCAGGAGCGGCAAAATGCAAGTACTTGGAGCTAGTAGTTCTCAGTTGCGTGACGAGTGATGTGGTGTTCTTGCTATATGCAAATCGAGGGAAATGCTGCGCACGCAAGAGCTGAAGTAAGCATCAAAAAGAACGGGAGAGTAAATTGGGAGTAACCGAAAGAGTGATAGTAATAACGCTAGTCGCTTCACTTGCCAGCGTTTGAGAGAGTCGTTGTAGTGCGGATTGTGTCTGAAGCAGATGTACAACTCATGCCTACTGATGAAAACATGAAGTCCAAGCACCTGGCTCAAAAAAGGAGAGCTCACTGCGACATGTCTTTGCTCCATAGGCCAATGTAAATATGCAACAACACTCCTTGACTTGCCAAATGGTTGGCTTTGGATAGTAAACCTTCATAGAAATCAGTAATTTACAGCTTTCCGACTCAAAAGCGTAATCCTTCTTCACTAGAGCTTTCGGATATATGGCGCTAGGCTTGGCAAGACAAATTATGCGTGTTGGTCTCAGCAACAGGAAATTGTGTCCAGAAGCCACACGCGAAGAAACAAGCCAAATCAGAATCCCATGTGCAATGGTATATTGTTGACACTCAAACTCTTGTATGACCTTATTGCGCAAGGACGGCATGATTCAGCAGATTTTCTGGGTTTTTGATATCCGCCGTATCCGGCAGTACCAGCTTCAGGAGCATACCAGGACCACTACCGATGTAACTCTGCCCCAAACCTGAAGCAGGAATAGAGCACCACTATACCCAGAAAACACTCATTGTTTTTGAGTAATGCGCATCCTGTCCCAAAGGTCCTAAGGTATTTCTCATGCTTAGGGCAGCACATCAACAATTTTCCTACTCTGGTTTTCTTGGTATGTGTTCATATTTGGTAGGTTGTCAAAATCACTGTCAGCTTTTGGGTCCCCATTATGGTACGACCTCACTATTTAGGGTATTTAAAAAGGGACCGCACTTTGAATAATCCCCTGCTTAGCGAGTTCGATGTCACCCCTTGGTGCTATTGGTACCGCGCAACGAGTGGTGTCGTGTGTGCGTCCTCTGTTTAGGAATGTGCTTCCGCTTGATCCCCCACCGTGGTTGGTAAATAGGCTCAGGTCATGGAAACAAAGTTCTGAAAGAAAAACATGGCCGTTGGTATGTGACTTCGTGGGCTCCTTGATTTGTCTACCCTGCTTGCGGGCTCTCTGTTAGCCAGTCAGACCAAAAGCTCCTGCTGTGGAGTGTCCGTTCTGTCCTGTTTCATAAGCTGTCTTAGTTAGACGAGGACGGACGGAGTTTCCTTTCCTGAAAAAGATTGAACCAAGGTTCTCATCCAGAGTACTCTAGCTCCTCCAGGTATTCAGGACGCTTGGTCATTCTGGACACCGTGACGCCAATTGAAGTGAATGAGTTTGTGAGCTTCAGTCACTGCCCGGAATCAAGACTAAAGATTGGGGCGACAGTCTTCCTGGAATCTTGAGTCTTGACCCCGGCCCTACCGCCCGCGCCCGATGGCAATTCAACGACACTGCCCTTACAGCAACAGCTACCGGATGCTACAAGAGGTATGACGAATTATAGTAGACTCAAGTCTTTGTTAAGTGCCTTCAAGGAATGTTCTTGCAAGGGGAAAAATTTGCACAGAAACCCAAGGACCGCAAAACCCAAGAACGTCCTAAGCCGACCAAGCCCTCCCTAAACCCAGAAATGATTCTTAATCCTAGACGCTACAGTATAAACCCTGAAGGCACTGCATACTTGGTAGCGTCACAAATTTTTCCCCATATTATATTCCTGTAATGGAAACCCTGCACTCTCTGCATATGCTTAGGGTCTGCATATCTCAAGACTTCAAGCAACCTTAAAAACCTAATCAGTGACTCCTAAGCTCTCATCCTGAACCCTATATAAGCTTAGTGGTGGTTCGTCAGTAGGGAATCAGGGAATATATTACATGGAGTGTATATTCACTTATTCCCTACGAACCCCCGGTAAGTAAACCTAGAACCCCTATCACACCCTACACCCTAAACCCTTACCCCAAAGAGTATCACACTATGAAGACAGAAGCTTCCCCGAGCCTTCTCCCACTGCCCTTGCCCCGCGCACGCGCACGCAGCTGGAGCCAGAACCGACATGGCCGGTTCCTTGCTTTAAAAGTTGGAAAGGTTTAGGGTTTAGGGCG